ACTACCACTGTTTAGAATCTCATCACCTTCATCTGTTAACTGTAAAATAACCTCGACCACATCTTTACAATCTATTATCTACAGAGAGCGAAATATATAAGCGCTTTCAAGAACGCACCCCACTATAGTTTTCCAAACTTTTTATTCCTCCAACAACTACTTGATGATCGACTCCAAGCTTTTCAGCCAATTTATCTGATCTAAAATAACTTCCATCCGTTAACTCAAGAAGAATCAGGTTCTGAATGTCCATTGGGTTTTAGTCGTTAAACAAGAGAAGGAAGGAAAGATCGTAGCTAGGTTACGTTAGCCCTGAAATTCAAGAAAAGGAAGAATTCTTTCACAGCTGGGATTATGAATGTTTCCTAGTTACGTAAACCTCTCCCTCCTTTTTCAAATAAATAACTTTATAAGATCATAAAAAAGCCAGTCCCTTTAGTGCTGTTCCTCTTATGTTGTCCTAGTATTAGTTGTAGGCATCTCAATACTTATTTGACACTAATAATTCTGAATCAACCTGGGTACAAAAGGCTTACACTACCAAAATAGCCACATACTTTAGCTAAAAATGAGTATACACTAATATTTTTAAAACTTATGCTTCCTTGAATGAGTTAAGAAAAATGTGATACAAATTATGGATTTCCACGCATTAAAATTAACAACTCGACTGCTTGCAATCCTCATATACAGCTAAATCCATGCCCCACAGAACTGCAGAACACTCTTAACACGATGACCATGCCTGGAACTGTACAACGTTAGTTTAATTGTGTATAGTGATTTAGTTTTGAATTTTGAACAATCCATAAAGTGTGAAATAATAGAAGCATATGACACCCTCAGAGAACTGTGGATGGTGACAAGAAACTGCATCTCTCCAGAAAATGTCATAGAATGGTTATTAATGGCTTGTAGTATTCTTAACGCTTCTGGACATCCTCTTAAACACCTACTTATGTTTAGTTCGAATAATAACCTAAGGGGTAACACCAAGAAGCTGGAAACTCAACATAGCAAGACGGAATGTAGACACAACTCCTACTCCTTAAGAGTTGTCAAGTGCTGGAATTCGCTGCCGGCCGTGCTAGTCCAAGCGACTTCTCAGGAGTCCTTCAAAAGGCAACTTGACCTATTCTTAAGGACCAAGGACAGTATCACACTATGATTTACCAATTTTTTTCCTCTTTTATTGTTAACATATCTAGGTTCCTGCCTAGAGGATTTGGTGATCCCCTGCTACTAGACAAGGAAGCCTGTTAAGCGAAAGCTTCTTCTATTCCGTCCACAACCATTTGAACCATTTGAACCTCATAGAATAGAAGCAACTATATGTTCCATCATGTTATTATGAGGACGAACAGAAAGCACAGTCATACCCACAGTTATAGCAAGTCCTCTTGGCTTGTATTCACATAGAGGAACAATCAGAAAGAGGAAAAGAAAATAAGAACGGTAATAACGATATTTGCTTTCCTGAAACAATCATGATAGCTGCATTATCCCTTTTTCTCGTTATTATTCGATTTTTTCATGGACGTTCTTTTATATTTAACGCTGTCATTGTGAATTTTCAGGACCTACCAGGAGGTCCATCTATATACTTCCAATACTCAGATGACGAAGTTCTCTGAGGGAATACAGTGTCGTCTAATCACCACGATCGGAAAACCAATCATGTTTCAGATGTGTTTTCTCCGTCTAAATGCAAGATGTTGCTTGAGAACTGCGGTGACGTCCGAACTAATGATGTAGACTGAAGTGGTTGGGCGCGTTGAGCACCCCATTTATCTTCGAAGTCTCGCCAGACCTGTCCGGTCGGTGCCTGACGAGATTTCGACAAGGTTTCAGAAAGCTCACCTGTCTTTTGTCCAATTGCAGCATCTGCGGCGTAACCGAGATGTACGTCTATCAACTAAAGAATAAATGTATTGCGTAGTATTTCAACCTTTCCTACTCTATGTTTACAATTCATGGCCTTTAAAAGTAGGTGTCCGTAGTTTGCTAGTATCTAGTCGTGGAAACCTTCAAAGCATTCCCAACGTGTTGTGACCACCAAGTAAGGAATGCTGAGGTTGGGCTCTGAGAACGAAGTAACGATGGAAAATCTGTCAGGAAGATAGTAAACATCCACTGGCTTATATGAACGGAATATTATTATGTATTCCAACTACCTCCTGCCGCAACAATAGACGTTTGTCGATGCGGGATTGAGCTGTGACAAATCTAGGGATGGCCAACACCAAGATTTCGCACGAGTCCATAAATTGATTGACTGTTTGAGCCGTGTTGGTATGTTCGGATTACTATATTAGGGTCTACAAGTTTATCTAAACTAATTGCTAGAGATGTTGGATGAGATGTCTCGGAAGAGGTCGAAATAGTGCAAATACACTTACTCTCCGTTTCTCCCTAGATCCTAAGGTAAAAAAATATTCTCTTTTTTTACTCAGCGAATTCCTCTCAAATCACATTGTCAATAAATAGTCTTTCCTATGCCTCCAAATGCCCTGGTACGTCCGTGAGTATGAAGAGTTCGCTCTCCTCGAAATTCTCTCATTTGACCACTTTCTTCTCGCAGTGACGAAATCTCAGCACGGATACAGAAGGCTCGACTAGCTTTTGCTAACTTGCTTTATTTATGGCGTAGGCGAGATATCCGTCTATCAACCAAAGGATGGGTTTACTGTGCAGCCGTTCGTTCCGTCCTACTTTATGGCAGTGAAACATGACTGGTAAGAGTAGAGGATATTCGTGGACTACTAGTATTTGATCATAGGTGTCTTCGAAATATTGCTCGTATATCCTGGGACCATCGAGTAAGTAATGCAGTTGTTAGAAAACGGGTACTAGGTAAGGATGGCAAATCAATTGATGAAGTGGTGAAACTTCATCAGTTGAGATGGCTGGGACACGTGATACGTATGCCAAACGACCGACTGCCTCGACGTGCGATGTTCAGTGGTATAGGAGTAGGTTGGAAGAAAGCTAGGGGCGGCCAGACCAAAACATGGCATAAGTCCATGAAGTCACTGACAAGTGGACTGAGTCATTTCGGTAGGTGTAGACTACCTGGTTGGGGACCGCGAGATGATAGCAACCGATGATTAGAGACCTTGAATGACATGGCTCAAAATCGTCTGCAATGGCGCAGGTGTATCCACTCTTTGTGTTCTCCCAAATTTTGATCTCCTGATTCCCCCTTGTTTCTTTTTTTCTCTTCCCAAATTTATTTCACTGTATTATACTCTTTAAGTAAAATCTCCAAAAACTAATCTTTCCGATTACTGCTTATGCTTTTATTACCTCTACCACTACGGGATTTGAATCGACCACGGCATCTCTGTGCTAATGTGGTGTGGCAACTCGAACTGATGTACGAACGTACAAATTTCTACATTGTTACTGACTGAGTGAGGGTATTGTTTACGAAATTGGAAGGACGAAAAGAGAATGTCCGGCACTTAAACCGGGTTGGTGGACACGGAAATCCACCTAGGTGGGTTGGAAAACTCTGATTCCAAACCAGTGATGCGCATTGGCTTTAGGATCCCCAGGGAACAAGTGAAGTGGCAACCTGTTCTTGGTCATCGGCCACCATAGAACCCGGTCTCCTGACGTTGCCCGACTGCATCGTGGATTAGATCTCTAGATCAAAGTCTCGAGGAGTGGATCTCTTAGGAAATCAACTGTTTCGGTTTGGACACGCGGAAAGTATTCCAGCCCACACAAAAGTTGAATGGTAACTAATTTGTGTGGCACATATCTATTTCGACCCCCCCCCCCTATGTACCGACACTTATGTGTTCAAATAAGTGTAATAGATAATCTTTTCCTACTATCACTAGTACTCTCATTACTTTTAGTGCCCTTATACTTATGTTGATAATTTCGTCTTATTGTGCTTGCTATGTTGTGACAACTGAAAGGGACTCATATGTGGTAGTGTCTTAATAGAGAATGTTTTAACTGAAGGTTATTAATTTAGTACTCTAATAGTATTTATCTTTCTATTATCACGATTGTATGATTATAGGAGTTTTTGTTTGAATTTCTTTGGGTATATTTCAATATTCTGTATCTACATTCTAAGTTTCAGCGTGTCGCTCCCGTTGTCCTAGGCATTGCAGAATGTATTTAACAAAATGGGTGTGATTTTACCGTTGATTTGATAAAATTAACATGCTTTAAAATATCGAAATCCTCAGTAGGAAATGCAATTGTCTTCCTATATGTCAACTATCCCAACATCATTTGGTGTCGTGTGAAATAGAATTTTGATTTGCTAGTATAGTTCATAAGACCACCGAAAATTCATCAATGTGCCATGCAGTCCAATGTGTCTTGGAACTTTTTCCCGGTGTTACATAATGACTTAACCAGTGGTATGGAACGTTATTTTCCGTTATAACGCAGCTGTTTTTTGTGGTTGTCCGTAAATGATTGATCTCAATAGAATAAAAAACAATCTGTCTTCGGTATGTATGTTGCATTTAAGGGTAGTTTTGTAACTGTGTCTTAGTGTTGTGCATGCTTGATTTTCAACTGCCAATTTGTAAGTATTAATATGCCGCGATTTTCTCGCACGAGATATGGTGAGTTGTGAACTGGTTAATCATGATTAAATATTATTTTAAAATTATCAACTACCTCTGGGTTAATTTCATTGGGTTCACTTTTCTGAAAGCTTACTTGTCTTAAGTACGTAGTTGTAGTGTTAATAAATTGCGTTGGGAAGTATAGATGTACACACATGAATTTGTAAATCACCCTTTGTACTAAGGTTCAAGGTACTGACTAGTCAGTTGTAAGAAGTATGGTGAATGGGAGTGGTGGTTGAAAAGCTCTGATCGAACATTTGAAAGGGAATCGCCTAACCTACAGCTCCATTCGGCCAGACCTTATAAATCCTTTAACTAGAAGTATCATTGATCGCCAGCGCAGACCCTTTGCAGATATTTATGGGGTATTCATATTCAATGTTTCCAAGTTAGGTTGGTCTAGCATGTAGTGTTCAAGTCACTCTAATCTGAATAGGAAGGATCGTAGAGACTAGACATCATTTACCACTCATTTTGTCCAGTTGTAGTTCCCTCAAAACAAATAAAACAATATCAGTGAAGAATGAGATCTCATAGTTCTATGCTACGGTAGGCCACGTTTGTGCAAATCAAGTATTCCGTTAAGAATAATTAAAATAAATGTACATTTGCCATGTTGATATGTGGTTGAAAAGTCATTTTTCCATTATTTACTTCATAGTCATCATGGGTTGCCTTTTTAATGAAAAAGCATTCTCAAAAGCCTTCATAAGTTTTGAAAACTTTACAACGGTACTTTAGTTTTTAAGAGACCTGATTTTCTATTTCTGTTCATCACATTCATTGCGTATCCTAAACATTTCAGGTTTTCAGAAATGCCTACGAACAATTATGTTGAGTGCAGTTTTTGGAATTTCGATAGTCTTTTTCAACCACAACAACATCCTGCTCGTGATGCTCATGATACATTTTTCCTTTCAGGTAAGTTATTAGCCTGCTATGGGCTTTTTGCGTCGAATTATTTAGTCTTTTTGTGTCTATGCGAATATCTTCTGTATGATGGTTGGTTTGTTTGTTCGTTGGACAGTACTGTTTTTATATTCTAATTATTGACAAAAGTCCATTGTCAAACTGAATACGGTTAGTGCTATTCATCTTCCAACAATATCGAGTTAGGCGAAATGTTTGTCGGTCTATCCGACCACACTTTGCATAATCACAGAGGATAAAGATAAGATGTGCCGAAGTAACAATGTGAATGATGGTGGCTGAGATACAGAAAAGCTATAGATCAAACGGAACAAATGAAATTGGGACATGGAACGTACAATATGGTAATAATAATAATAATAATAATAATAATTCGGTGAGCGATACTACCACTGGAAATTTTGACATATGTCATCTAAGTTTCTTAAACTGTAAATTCACAGTTATTTCAACCTGCAAAGCGATGTTAATGCTTTGAGTTGTTTTGTGTGAGGGATTTTGTTCAGAGTAATTAGTGACCAAATTTTACATTTTGTATAAAGCTTTTTGTTACGTGTCTGTTATATGCTTATTATCTAATTAAGGGCTATTTCGCATTCAGCACCCGGTTTCACGTGAATATTTCATATGAATCTGTTACTTCCTATGATCATTGCTTTTGGAACTTGTACTTAGTATATTTGTCATTCAAAACATTAGGTTGTATGTCAACTGAATGCTCTTTGCAATAATGACTAATACAGCAGTAATTCATCATCTCTATTACACAACTCGTGAAAATTTCAATTTCCATTGTAAGGATAATTGAAATGTATCTGTACGCAAATTTTAACGACACACGCAACCCTCCTTGTTCTGATTTAAATGGACTTCAAGTGTTTGAACTCATTACCTGACAGTTTCTAAACTGTCAGAAGCCTTGTGAGATATAATTATTATTATTATTATTTTTATTATTATTTTTATTCACATACATCTTATGGGTACATAAGTGTTGTGAAGAAACCATTTCGGGTTTCTTTAGAAAATGCAATAATACACAATTTTCAATAATGTTAGCATTATACTTGCCATATTTAAAAAATAAAATAAAATATTTAAATAAAAAAATTTAGAATAATAATAGTAGAATATTAATAATAATAAATCGGGTATGTGTAATTGAGAAGAATATTGAATTGAGTTTAAAGAAGGAAATGGAGAAAATAAGGGAATAGAAATAAAGGAGACGTGAAATAAGCAAACAGTGTAATAGGCGTCATATTCATCTTGGGCCTCTACTTGACAAAGATATTTAGCTTAGTAGACAGTTCCCCCATTTATTTATTCACTCAGTTATGTAATGTGTTTGATGTTATGTACTAATCTATTGATTTTACTGACCAACATAATTAAAAGTTTAATCTAAATTGAACGATATGTTTCAGAAGACGATGATTGACCAACTGGTATGCTAGTGCTTCGAGGAATATCACTAACAAGCTAAGTATGTGCTCATATGTAACCGATTGACTAGAGTATAATTGTTGTTGTTTATCTTCAACAGTGACTGATGCTTTGGGATTAGAACTATTCACACCAGTTGGAATGGAATATGAAACTTAATTTGAGATGCTGTTACGGCTGGTCTTTGTTTATATTTCTTTTTCTACGACAGTTCAATGGATTACTTGTTTGGTTTTAGTTTGCTGGCGTTCTCGCCGAACTTGTAACCGACTGATAATTACTAATTGAAGCTCCAAACTAGTGTCAGTTATGTTTTATGATGACTAGCATACTATATGGAAAATGCGATTATTTGAAATTTGTGTTGTTGTATTGTAAATTCTGAAATCGAATACGACTTGATTATAGCTTCATTTCTATTGTCTTCATGCACCATGATTACTATATTTTCATCTGTAGATCCTGAGACTTCGGATATCAACAATACAGTTGAATCTTGTTACATTGATAAAGTTCGCACTGTGCATAGTCAAGGTGCTTTTGGTAGTCGAGGCTATCAGTCACCATGGCTAATAGAGGAAGCGGAGAAAAATTTGTTGCGTACACATACAACAGCAGTGAGTGCCCGAATGCTTCATGCATTATCTAAAAAGGTAGGTGAGATCTTTCTACAGTAAGCTTATTTTCTGAAGAATGACGACAGATTCTGTTCAAATATTAAGCATCTGATGTTGTTATTTTGGCCATTTACTAATGTTTGAATATCACATTACATGGTTTAACCTGAACACAATTAATGTTGCTCAGAATATTCCTTGTCAATCAGGCTAATGGGATCTTGTGGAGTGTTTATACTTTTGATTTAACACGAAGAATGACGTTGGATGAGTTCCAAAATACTGATCACTATAAATAATTACCTAACCTCAGTTGGTCTGATATATTCATATGGCGAATCATTGGCGAAGAGATTTAATACCTCACCAGTGAATATGAAATAATTAGTATTTCATTGGCTATAGGCATCGTTGGTGACCTAGGAACTAAGAATAATAATTGTCATACCAAAGCATGGGTATGTGGATCACCAACGTAGATGATCTATGCCAAGTGATCGGAGGCCTACTCGAGTTAGACGGGAATGGAGTGACGAACCAGCTAACGTCGAAATCACACCTCGTGGTCAGCACCTTACGTGGACTACCCCATTGACGTATCAGTGTACCATAGATGCTTTGAAGACTGTACAACACAGAGGACGTTATTACAGAAATATATTAGTTCAAGTAGATACAAGCGAAAGTAAGACCACTGCCTCATGGGTCAGTTCATGGCGTACGATCAACTGATGCGCGTTGATTGTCCTTGACCTTGACAAGGATCGATCATTTGTTCGATATCCAGTTACCGAACTGCCGAGTGATTTGGCTAGGGCTCAGTTGAATTTCACTGACCCTACAGGTAATTCAGTGTGTCAATAATGTTGACTTGAAGGAGCAAGTATTGTCACGTTGAATTGAAATAGGTGATGAACCAAAAGTTAAGTTGCAACAGTATTAGTACACTTAAACAATTAATATTCAACTTCTATAAGAGTACGAAAGAGGTAGCGTAGAATTTTTAAGAAAAACCTGTCTTTGCAACCAAGATATCGTATTGGAATGATGAACCGATCTAAGTTAGACCGCCATTGGGAAACTGGAATTACGATGTCCGTTCAACCCTAGTGTGAGACTCCTCAGGAGCGTGCAGCCACGATCCCACATACGGGAAAGTGACCTAGGACCTTCGGTTGATTTGCGAGTTCAATGAATTTCAAAAGTCTCGTCTACCCCATACTGAAAATTATCATGTGATTACTGGTGACTAGCTTTGAAAAAAACATTTCAGAGTTCTGGTGAAAAGCCATGCCCAGTGTAGCCAAACTATGTTGGGTGTGAGGGAGTTGCCCACCGAAGACAATAGAATATATGGTCACACAATATTGTGGATTGATTGAAGTTAGACATTAACGTCGTTGGATGCCGACTCAGTGGTCTAGTGGATGAGCGCTTGCGCGTGAGACCGAAGTTTTTGGATTCGATTCTTGCGTGCGTTCCATACTAAGACGAAACAATCTTCCAGTGGTAGTCTAACTGAGATCATTTACTTCGTCCTGTAGCCAGCTCAGGTATTTTGATTGAGTTGCGCATGGAGTCGTCAACCTCATCCCGTTGAATATAACCTTGCTAGAAACGCTAGACAGAACAAACAATTCAAGTCATTTAAACTCTCATTTGGGAGTTGACGGAACAGTTATGAACGCGGAGATTCATCGGGTGATGCCTTTTCTTACAACCATAGGAACAATGAATTAATCGGTGAAAGTCTTTGGATCCAAGCTGGACAGCAGAAGTTTGGTGCAAGAGTGCTGCTGCTGTTCTCCGTTCACATATAGAAAAGTGCTCCTCACATGTAGGTAGGTACTCTAGTGCTGTTCAAAGGAGCACGTGTCGCACTTATGGGATGGGAGTCTCACGGTTCCAGTATCATCAAAACATCCTTCAAAACAAAGAAGAAGGGAATCGCGATGAATGTTATCCTATGTTATATAACCATCAATGATAACAACGACGTTAATAAAGATCAGTTCTATGAGAGGCCGCAGTCAATCATACCGAAGTGCCCAGGAAAAGACCTGATCTTCCTGATGGGAGACATAATCGACAAAGTCGGAATGGACAACACCGGGTATGAAGATACTATGAGATGACATAGGCTGACTAGTAGAAAGGAACGAGAATGGTAACAGATTTGCAAATTTATGTGCATTCGACAAAGTGTTTATAAGCGGTACAATATTTCCACACAATTGCATACACAAAGCTACATAGGTCTCACCGAACCACACCACGGAGAACGAGATAGATCATGTTTGTATTTATAAAAAGTTTGAAAGGACAATCGAAAACGTAAGGACCTGGAGAGGAGTTGATATAGCTTCCGATAACCACCTGGTTATGGCTAAGATAAAACTGAAGCTAAAGAAGCACTGGACAACCAGAGAAACAGAGGTACAGAATAGGTGTCATTATCAAGGTTTGATTTGATAATTTCGAATAAAGAGGTACAAAGGTTCAATATAGCCTCCCTGCGATACTGATGGACTCAATAAATTCAAGATAACCCTCAAAAACTGGTTCCAAGCCTCATAGGATCTACCTTTAACTTGTCTAGTTGGCCTTTTAATTTTCATATAAAAATGTCTTGACAACTATATATGTTACAGTAGTTAAAAGTCATTAAAGGTCATAGGAATGTGAAATAAATAAGGTGATACGATGATTACTTATGAATAAAATAATGAAAATATAAGACATAAGTAAGGGGGAACGCAGTAATAATAATAATAATAGAATAATAATATTAGTTATGGCCAAGGTAACGATAACGATAAGACGTACCTCTTTTGTACGAATAGTTCTGGTTCGAGCTCATGGATGATGAGAACTTCGGCTATTTCTAAGAGTTAAATACTGAGAAATCTAGATAGATTTGAACGAATCTTATAAACATACTTCAAATAACACTGTGGATTCGTAGAATGATTACAGTCGATAAGCTGTTCAAGTGTAGAACTCCGAAATGCTTTCCTTGCACCCTTGTACATATGTGATCAGGTTGTTCGAAATGTATTGTGCAAATATGTCATATAATTCTGATAAACTTCGTCTTCTCATTGTATTATCGAGATCCATGATAGCTCTTTATGACAAGTTCCAAGCCTTATTAGATCTAATGAAAAAAGAAACTACTATGGAGGACAACTGGAAAGTGATCAAAGAAGTATTAACTTCAAATTATCAGGAGGTACCGAGCCGCAAGAAGCATCACCCTAAATAATGAATCTCCATGGAAAACCTGAAGAATATTCAAGAAAGATATAACAAGAAGACTGTAATTGACAACAGACGAACAAGACAAAGCATTGGACCAAAAATATGAGATTCGTGTGTCTTAGTAACGTTCTTTGTCCTTTTTGATGATGGGTAACAAAACTGAAACCTAAACGTGTACTTTAAAGCGTAGTCGCAGAGATTTAAAGACTTTGTGGAAGCTCTTCATCATAACGCCTGTGAGAGCTTATCCCATCTTTTAGACCTAACTAAAACTGATCTCGCTAGTCATTTTATATGCTCCGTCCTTATCTATCAGTTAATAATAATAATAATATATATTTCTGCATGTGCAGGTACACACCGTTTTTACAGGCATGATCTATAAATTACAACATTTGTTGGTTCACAGAATGTTTTCCAACTTATTAAGTTTATAGTTGTTATAAAGTGAAATCGTAGAGCGCTTGCTGTAAACTATGACCTTGGGGGGACGCGTACATCAAGTTTGTTCCAAACGTCAGAAGTTTCATAGCCGTGCTCTCAGAGCAAGATTCTGAAGAAAAAAGAGAAACAGAAGAGCAGCAAGGCACTTGGATATGAACGCAAAACGTTGCTTAACATAGTGTAGTAGAACGGACAGAGGTATGATAAATTAGAATAAATTCATATTATGTCTTGTTAGTGAAATGAAGTCAGAGGCTCCATATTATAGAATGTACTAATAAAGAACAGTGAGTTGTGATGTTTAACAAGTTGGAGTAAGCTCACATGAAGGAAAGGAAGTCAAGGCTGTTACTAGGAAAGCGGTTTATAAGAAGGGTGTGTATATAGAGGGTGAGGTGTTAAGAATATTAATGATTACATCTTTTATTGTTTAACTTTTTTTCATTTTTTTGTTTTTCTGATGCCAGCCACACAATCCTAGTGTAAAAATCCGAGTTAGCATGTTATGGGTTGTCTTAGTAGAATAGCTAATCCAGCATAATATTGGAAACATGAGTTTGAGTGGTGAGCGTAGGAAAACAATCTATATCACAGATTGATTGAATTATTCTCAGTCATGAGGAGCCTGATACATACAAAATGTTCTGTCCCCACAAACATGGGTGGATTGAAGTTATCGCCCTCACCATCAATGCTTGCTGGTCAGTAACTCCACCCTCCCTCCTTTTGTGATGTTAGGCTCATTTAGCATTATTTTTGTATATACGTCATTCCTCGCACAATCCTCTGTTTCACAAACTGTTGGAAAGCACTATTTCTATAAGTACCATTTTACAAGCTTATCAGACAGTTACAAGCTATGGACTGTGGATAAAGCATCGATGCAGTGCCTCTGTTGACTATAGTATAAAGTATAGTTTGCCAATCAGAGTATAAGCGTTAAGAAGGGTATATTGTAGGATAGTTGTTTATTTAAGCAGGCGGAAAAAGTATAGAAGTATATGAGTTGTGGATATGAGAACGAGTGGAGAAATAATACTAATTGCTAGTCAACATAGTGTACTGAAGAGTAAAAAGTTAATACAGGATAAATAGGAAGGGACTCACAGTGACTTAGTGCTGATGTTATTTTCTGTCGTCCTAACCAGTTGATTGGTAACTGGCTCCATAGATGCAAGACCACTGGAAGTAGGCAGCCGATTGTGCGGTCCTCTTGACGTTTTAGGGTGGTAGTGAGTGTCCCTTATCGACCGAGTTTATTTTAACAGTAATGACAGGTCCATTGAGTTACCTGTCTACTTCAAGTGAAGAAATGGGGTGGAAAAAGTAATTAATACAACTGCAAAGTAGGAAAAATAAGGCAAACTGAACTTGAAGTCCATTTTGGTCTAGACATGGAGAGAGCCTATGATGTCTGAGTGGGGTGCAGATGTGTTCGTACGTGCAAGATTAGTGCAAGTGAGGGCTTGATCAAGCAGTTTTACAAACGTATGTAATTCATCTGCCATGCGAGTTTCGGAGGGAAGACTGTTCCATATTATTGCATACTTGGTGAGGAAGAAGTTTTCCCGAGTTTTTGATCTGTATTTCTCAACTTTGACCGTAGATACTTTTTCGAAGTCCGTATTCATGTGAATCTCGGGCAAGAATTATCTTACACGTTGATGGGTAACAAAACTGAAACCTAAACGTGTACTTTAAAGCGTAGTCGCAGAGATTTAAAGACTTTGTGGAAGCTCTTCATCATAACGCCTGTGAGAGCTTATCCCATCTTTTAGACCTAACTAAAACTGATCTCGCTAGTCATTTTATATGCTCCGTCCTTATCTATCAGTTGTCATTGTTACGAGAGAGCTGAAGACATTTGTCTGATTAAAACTTTTATATAGTATGTTAGTAGTTTTAATGTGTTTTTTGGATGTATCTGTTTTACTCAACTTCTGAACTTGCTTGTTTATATCACTATTTTCGGACATTTTGCTTTCTTTTGTCTTTGGTTTGGTATTTGGAAGCTTTTGCTCCGGGAACCTACAAAATTGAGGATTTGTTTTGTAATTGTTATAATTATTGTTAGAACGACATTTGGGTCGATTATTTGTAAATTGCGAATAAACTTTGGTACCCAAATTGGAGTTTGGTTCTGTTGTTAATTTGGGTTCGTGAATTGCAAATAGATCGATGCACCGTACTTCAATAACGGGGACGAGCAAAAACTTGGACTTAACAGTCATCTATACGTTTTGTTGTGAACATACATTTTCTATGTACATCTATTTACCCGTTTGTATTTTTTACATTGCTGACGAAAATTAAGTCACACTTTATAATATTGAAATGTTTGTGATGCATTTCTATTTCCTGAATCTCTTACCGTATGCTACCTAAACAGATTTTTGAAATAAATACTATTGAAATTATATTTATTATTCAAATACATAAATATTGATTCGTGGGGTGACCAAAATATGTATAATTAAAATAATCAGAAAATAAGACAGTGAAAAGATGGAGAAGGGAATGTGATCATAACAAAAGAAACGAAGACTGAATCAAAATAGGTGGGTGGGAGTAAAAAGTAATGAGGGAACCAACTTTATTTAGTAAAATACAGCCGAAATGAACTCGTTTTGTTAGAGAACTTCCTCTCACTTCTGTGGAAGCATAAGGAAAAACAACAGTAGGACCACCACTGGCTTCTATTCTGAGTTTGTCTGATAAAGTCTCGATCCATTGGGTTGCATTATTTCTAGGATGCATAACAAGGAGATGTGCAGGACATACAGACACCATTACCCGTACAACCTTCCATGCTAAATACTACGACACCAATTCATAAACTAACCACGCTTTTCTGAAATCCAACCAGCCCCGGCATCGGTAGATAGTTCGCGATGTGGAATTATTCGGAACGACATTCGTCGAATATGTCCAAGCCGCCGAACTCAGTGTTGATGACTCTAGTTAAATTGTCGACACAATACGTTAACATACGTCCATGGACTTCGGCATTACGCAAATAGTGTTGCGGCTGAATGTCAACCACGGTGATGACTAAACATACAAAGTCGCTTTACATCCAGAGCTAGGAGCGACCAGGTTGTGTAATCTTAGAACAAAGGTGCTCCCATTGGTGCCTAGTTAATCTAACCCTTTACAGCCTGATTAATATCATAAAGACGCCAAGGATGTCCCGAATTGCTACAGACACTCTGGATTTCTCTACATGTAAACTAGTTTCATTTGATAAGCCACTATCGGCACCCACACAACAACCCTAATGCATAGACTTCTGGACTGCCTCTAGTTGATGACTACCAAGGTTAGTTAGGAAGACAGGCATTTTCCGAACTTATATAAGTACCTTTTATTTAGAGGATGCAAAGCGCCTGGCAAACCTAAGAAAACTGACTGCCGACTAGTTAAGTGTAGATCGTACAGCTTGTATATCACTTCGTAGTAATAAAATATCATTCCCATACTCAGTGTAGAAAACTCTTGGGGTAACCTCAACACTGTCGTTATTTGCTTTCATCAAATTCGTTTAGAAAATGTCGTAGATGGCAAAGTAATTCAACAGGAAAGGCATTCTTTTACACAACCACGTTAGCAGCAGCTGATAGTGATATGATCAATTTAAATCCAGACTTGAATTATAAGAAGAAGAAGGAGAGGTAGCACATCGCAGATGGGTGAACAGAGCGCCTGTTCTAGCCATAAACTTACAGTCGTTATCCAATCCGAGAGCAGAGGGTCCCCATTTCTCACTTAAGTGACCCATCTTTATGTCTGGATGGTCAACCTATACATTCAGATTTTCTCCCAGCAGTACAATGCCTTTTGAAAGAGGATTCGTAAGATCACATAATTGGTGGTAGAAATTACCCCTGATTGTGTATGTATTACGGCATGTCGAGGCGAGGTATCGTTGCTCATATTTAGTCAAGAGAGCAAACTAACATAGCAGTACATAGTTGACTGTTAAGTTGGATCCAGTCGATTAGTGATAACTTTTCTCCGGCTCTCAATAACACCAACAAAACCAGACTAGGAACATACGGGACTATCGGATGAACTTATATAAAACAAGCTTTCGAAGCGAGAGATGGATAGAGAATATTCAGTATTATATTCAGTGTTAGCGCGCTATTTAAAAAGGACAGTAATATTTTTCCTCTCTGAGTATATTTATTTGTTTTGACCGTTTATCAAGACTACTGTTTTCACTTTAATTGAATTTATTTCAGTTAAAGTATTCGACCAGAGTATCGTTTCTACTGTTCTCTCAATTAGTTTTGTCGTTGGTACTCTTGAGTACCTCTTTTTCAACTGTATCTGTTAGTACTTTTGATCCTAGCAATCTACAGCTCTTCACTTATTTGGTCATTGATTATTTTTTTCTTTCTGAATATCATCGCATCTTGAAAAAACCCCTCCTAAATGACCGGACAGTGTAAAAAAAGCAGTTGACAAAGTCCGGGTTGTCATTATCCTGTTGAAAGCGGCATGCAGTGCGACAAGTGCAAAGGCTGGTACCACGAAGTTTGCACGAACATAACGCCTGCTTTCAAACGGTTCAGTAAGAAGGGTTGTGTATGGCTTTGTCAACAGTGATGCTCGGATGCAAACAGGCTGTTAACCGAGGCCATCTCACTGGTTGATGCTGCAAAGAAGTGCTTTAGCAAGCATAGTCGGAACACGTCAAACAGCACTCGATTTGTCAAAACGCAAATCGATGTGAAGGAAACTAAGGTTAATTCGATAACAGATGACTCACGCCCGTCAAAAAAGGAAAAGCAGTCTCCAAAGGGGCCTGCCTTAAACAAAAGCTCAGGGAAAGTAGGTCATTTTGTTCCCCGTCTCCCAGATGGGGTCCGACAGGAAACACCTAGAAAGGGCAATCGCAAGGCTCGATCGGTTTAAGCGGTAAACATAACCCGACCTTTCAGGTAATCGACAACCCCCTAAAATCCAACACTAGGTTTGACGCATCTGTTATTGCTTCTACCAGCACCGTTGACGAATGGGTACAGGTTGTAAGGAAGAAAAGTAGGGATATAAAAGGGAATCCTGCCCTCGTAAAAGTAGTTGAAAAATCGAGAGTTGATCATAGCAACAGATCAGCTATTTTTCATAGAATCAAGGAGAGCGAGAGCTCTGAACCTAAAGCTCGTTTTGAGCATGACATTGTACTGATTAGGCAGCTGCTTAATCAACTCATGCCTCAAAACATGGCCCGGGTCACCTTGCTAAAGATGTACAGACTAGGGAGTCTAGCGGA